TTTGCGTTTCATCTAAGTACGGTATGGTGTGGAACCGTCGATGGGGAATCGTTACCAGCAACGAAATCAAATTCTGGAATTGTTCGTCTGAAGAGAACACCGTCGCTCCAGCTCTGACCATCACCTTGAGCCCTAGAGGTATCAAAGTTTTGGAATCAACTCGCAACGAATGCAGCAAACCGAAGACACTAGTCATGCACACCGAGAACGGCGACAAATACTTCTTGAACGCGGACACCACCTACGAAATGATGGACTGGAAGTTGCAAATCGATTTGGCTGTTCAAGCTTTGGAAAAAGGGCAGTTTCTTAAGAACCAACGTTGCATCAACTAATAATTATTTATAATATTTGTCTTGGATTTCATTGATGAGCTGCCACATCTATGATTTCTTTTAAACATTTGTATCATATTTTGTACAATTTGTATATTTAACTGTGATGTTTATCCAATTTACAGATTTCATCACATACATTATTTTTTATATAATTCTAAACGGTGCTCTTTTACAGAGATGATATCACTGACTTAGTATAGTTTATAGTTTTGTATAGAATAAATAGTACTCTCAGAAATTCCATCAATTTTAATTTATCTAGAAAAAAAAAACATGAAAGAAATCCGCGTTATCGAATTTTATAAGTGTTCAATAACTCGCGCCTCCATTATTTATCGTTGCACTGATCCATCGCCGTCGTTTGGATTTTGAGGCCCCGGCTATAAATATTGAGGTGGGACCCCCAATTAATAAAAACAGTGAATAAATAAATTCTTTAATTTTTAATACATACAAGGAAGGAACATATTTATAGAAGAAATATAATATAATAATATATTAATATAAAAGAAAAACAAAATTAATTTAACTTTATTTTACTTGATTAATTTCAGCAATTTTATCTATTATCTCACTTAAATTTAAGTCCTTGCATAATTAATTATCTATTGAAAACAACGCTAGGTTGAATAGTATTTCTTGTGTGATTCTGGATCTTAAATAGTTTTTCTTATTATTTTAAGTTTTGAAAAACTACGTTTAGACTCAGCAGAGGTTATCGGAATTGTTAATAAAATTCTTAAGATTATACTTAAATTGTGAAATTTCTTTCTTGTTTGGTGAACTTTTTAAGGCTTTTTAATGGTGACCAATCAAATATGCCTTCACAGAATATGTTAGAAAACACTTTTATTTCTGCATAGAGATCATTTCTGTTAATGTCTCCATTGTTGCCATCATCATATTTTAATGCTAGATGCAAATCCATACAAAACTTTTTTAATTTGTCATTTTCATATTTTAAATTTGTGTATATTATAATGGAAGCCAAATAAGTCATAAAGTTTCTATAGCTGTTTAAATCTCTCCTGAATTGAAATTCAGAAGTAAGAAGTATTCTCGATAATTTCAAAATCGTTAACTTGACTTCGATTTTTGATTCTGCAAAACCAACATTTCCAAAGTGTTTCAAAGAGTTTGCCAAACCCTTCAAAAGAGAAACTTCTGTCGAAAGATCGGTTTTTGGATTTTGTAAACTTTTACTAACGGTATTTACGTTCAACAATATGTCATAACAGATGACATCCATTTCGTGTTCGTACAATGATATTGATTCGCTTTTTATTTTGGGATCATTTGTTGCTTCACTTAATTCAATAAGTGCGTTCATTAATATTACAGCAATATCGATAAGAGCACAAGAATGTATCTATACTTGGATTCCCCAAACATTCAGCTTTCATATGCATATATTGGATTCATTCTAAGTATTACCGTTTTCGAGAAAATCAATGAAATGTGAAAACACTGCTTTTTCGATTTTTTCAATTTTGAACTCGAATTACAGCAATACGGATAAAACCACAGTAATATATCTATACTTGTTAGATTCCCCACACATTTAGCTTTCATATGCATCTTTTCGATACATTCTAAGTATTGTAGTTTTCGAGAAAATCAATGAAATGTAAAAACACTGCTTTTTCGTGCATTTTTTCAATTTTGAACTCGAATTACAGCCAAACGGATAAAACCACAGTAATATATCTATACATGTTCAATTCCCCATACATTCAGCTTTCATATGCATCTTTTCGATACATTCTAAGTAATATAGTTTTCGAGAAAATCAATGAAATGTGAAAACACTGCTTTTTCGAGCATATTTTCAAATTTTTCATTTTTTAAACTTTGAACTCAAATTACAGCCAAACGGTTAAAACCACAGTAATATATCTATACTTCTTCGAATCCCCATGCATTCAGCTTTCATATGCATATTTTCGATTCATTCTAAGTATTATAATTTTCGATTAAATCAATGAAAAGTGAAGGACTGTCCTCTACAATCTTGAAGAGGAATACCCAAATTAACTAATCGAGTTTTTAACACATCTTTGACGTTTGAAAACGGTTTCAAATCGTCTGTATTGTTTATTATAATGAGGTGGCTCTGTGAATCCCCCCTCCCCTTGCCTGTGGGTTCCGTGTATTCGCCTAATTGAATAATAATCACTCCAATATCCGAAGGATCATAAAACTGCAGGGATCGAAGCGCCGCGCCAAAAACTACCCTTTTTGGTTTATTGCACTACCAGGTCTAGGAAATGTTTTCAATGCCATCTTAAGGCTTACCGTTGGTAGATTTCGCACACCCCTACCACCTTTCTTTGGGTATAAAAGGGGATACTCTTGCTCAGCATCTTCACTTCGAACTTGCTTTCTGTACTTACAACAGTACCAGCAACTGCATCTTCACTCTAACCTAGCTTTCAGTATTTACAACAATACCAGTAAAAGTAGTCCCCTCTACTTTTCTGCAAATTTTGAGTATAAAAGTCGATTTTCTTAACCAGCATCTTCACTTTCAATTTGCTTCTGGTACTGTCAACAATACCTTTAACAGCTTCTTCATTTTTACTTCTATTTCGATAACAGATAAGATACAACTACATAAGATGTACTCAAACATTACTTTGAACGAGTCAGTCACCGTAAGTAGAACTAGCTTGATAAACAAATATAAGTGTTTAACATACCATCTTTCAATCCTCTAGGTAGCCTCAGTTATGAAACAGAACGCAGCTCGTGCTCCACTTGGAGACATTTCCAATTACCACCTGAAGCAGTGGAATAACATAAATTGTAAGTACAGACGCTCTCAGAGATTTATAAATATGCTAACTCATCAAATTTTCAACAGTCCATCAGGTTGATTCACCAAGAGTTACCATGAACAAGAAACCGTGTGTTAGGGTTTCTCCAAGAAGCTGCGAAACGGAGACGCAGAAGCTTACACCCATGACTAGCATCTACCGTAAAATGATCGAAAATCGCCGTAACAATCGGATGAAAAATTTGTTTAATGACAAGGATCAGGTGGCTGAAGATAAGAAGAGTCCTTCAAAAATCCCACTTGTACGCTTGGACCAGTTTAGATCTTCGGCCCCTAAAAGCATTCACTGTTATGCAGCAACTAGAAAGTCACCATCTAAGATTCCGGTGAAGATCTCGAATGGTAGATCTTCGGTCTCACCGAATTCTACTGTGAACAAGAGAACTCCACCGCCGAAACCGATCAGAAAATCGAAATTGTCTCCAAAGACTTCAGATGGACTTGTTGTTATGAATAGCACGCATCAATCCACATACGAATTAGTTGAAACCCCGAGAAGGGATAGTCAAAACACAGCTGATGAACTATCCACCGTTGAAATTTCTCCATTAGGAAGCGTTTCATCCTTCGATCAAACTCCTGAATTGAAGAAAATCCATTTCAACAGACACGACGTGGTGGGAACAAATTTTAATACTTATACTAAGAATCCGAAGATGGTGGAAAATCATGAGGAGTCCGGTTGTCTGAAGTGCGTGCATTCGACGATGATAAACTCAACAAATCACGTTTTCTTGGAAGAGGAAAAGAAATCTGATTTTGTGAACATGAACGGAGTACCTATTAGTCCGATCCGCAAAGACATGCGCGAAAAGCTCAGCGAAAAATGTTCATCATCGACTTTGCCAAAGAGCAGCGAATCTTCAAGTGGAAATTATAGGATAACGACAGATACAGAACACAGTTCCGGTTTACCAAACTTAAATGCAGTCGAAAGAAAAGATGTAAGTATATTTAGTTTGAAATCTCTTAGAACGTCTTCACTAACACATGCATTTATATCACTTTTCAGAACTTCGCTGCAATTATTGATTATGGTGACAATACTTACGCAATCCCAAATAGGATAGACGGAACGTATTCTGTGATCGTCAACGTGACCGAAGCATTCTTCGGGTTGAAGAAAGAAGCCGACAAGCAGTGTTGCATCATGAAGCAAGCATCAAAAGCTCTGGATTACTGCAGGAAGAACAAAGTTGTAAATTTCAGGGCCATCATGGAAGCTGAAAAAATTATGCTGCTAGCAAGTAAGTTTAATTTAAACTCAATTGTAGTGAGCTGTTACTAATTACTCGATTCATTTTCCAGGCACCAAATACGACATCATGCTGACCCAGATGCGCGACAATCTTGGTAAAGTGCAGAACAGCGTGAAGAACGTGCGTTCCGTTAAAATCGGGGCGTTGATCATCGACCTGAAGACCCAGAGGAAAGAAAAGGAATGGTTCATCGCGGTGATCTCACACCGCGAACAAGTGTTCAACACGAAAATGATCGAAGTGTTACCGCATCAGAAGCATCTAATTTTTGATGAAGAATTCACATTCACCACCGTCACCGCCGGTTTCAAAATTCAAATCGACATTTACTCCTACAGCGTGAAGTATGCCGGCAAGAAGGCTTTCATAAATAAGGTACGTGTCATCAAAGCTAAATGCAAAAAATAACATTTAACTAACTGTTTCAATTCGTTTGCAGAGCATCAGTTCTTTTTTGAAGAAATCGCGCGATCTATTCTCCAAGGATTCGCAACTGAAAACAAAAGTGCCTAAAATCGTTGAGTCGTCCTTCAAATTGTCCGCTTCGCTGGAGGTGAGCGTGGAAAATATCAACAATAAAGTATCAAACACGTTCACCAAAATTGATTCCAACTCATCGATCGTCGGAGAATTGAAAGTCGATGCTCAAATCACAAATTTGAAGATGGAAATATTCAAGAGAGGATACGTGAACGTTTGCGTTTCATCTAAGTACGGTATGGTGTGGAACCGTCGATGGGGAATCGTTACCAGCAACGAAATCAAATTTTGGAATTGTTCGTCTGAAGAGAACACCGTCGCTCCAGCTCTGACTATCACCTTGAGCCCAAGAGGTATCAAAATTTTAGAATCGACCCGCAACGAATGCAGCAAACCGAAGACGCTAGTCATGCACACCGAAAACGGCGACAAATACTTCTTGAACGCGGACACCACCTACGAAATGATGGACTGGAAGTTGCAGATCGACTTGGCTGTTCAAGCTTTGGAAAATGTGCAGTATCTTAAGAACCAACGTTGCATCAACTAATAATTCTTCTTAATAGTTATCTAGGATTTCATTGATGAGCTGCCACATCTATGATCTCTTTTTATTTTATATATAAATCTTGACGATGCTCTATGTTTTAGTTGCTATCACTTAATTTATACTGACGACTGGTACACACTTGTATCATATTTTCTACAATTTCTATATTTCACTGTGATAATTATCCATTTTACAGATATCATTAAATCAATTCTTGACGATGCTCTATATTTTAGTTGCTATCACTTAATTTATAATGACGACTGGTACATATTTGTATCATATTTTGTACAATTTGTATATTTAACTGTGATGTTTATCCAATTTACAGATTTCATCACATCAATTATTTTGTATATAATTCTAAACGATGCTCCATTGCATAGATGATATCACTGTCTTAGTTTAGTTTTTAGTTATAGTTTTGTATAGAATAAATAATACTCTCAGCAATTCCACTATTTTGATTTATCCAGAAAAAAAAAACATAAAAGCAATCCTTTTTTTGTTTAAGGATTCATTAATTAATTGAAATTTTAATTATTTTCAAACATTGAAACAGGAACTTAATCATCATTTTTATGAAATATTAATTCTTTTCATTCGACTCAAAATCGATATTACTAAATTGAAAATGATAACAATTTCTGTCAATCTTCTCAAATGGAGATTATAAATAACTAATACATTTACATTATTTATTTGATTAATTTCTCAATATACAGCAATTTTAATAAATAGTTTTGATTATATTAAAGTGTTTTTCCTCTCCATACATTTGTGTTGGTATACTATAGATATGTGCGTGTGGTGTGTGATTCGTAAACGATTGTGCACAAATCGTTTCAGCATGTTCCTCAATTCTACAATAGTTGAAGCGAATTAGCGTGATTCTTTCATAAGTATCTAACAGTTTTTTGCAGTGTGGATGCTGTTTTTGGTTTAGATGTAGCAGGGCGGAAGCGCGCAAGAGGCGGTGGCGCTGCGAGCTGGAGTAGCAGGTTCCTCTTCGTATCCTTCAGCAGATTCCTGTTTCCTGCGCAGTATCTCCATGTTTGCCTCCTGAATGGCCTCCCAGAGCTTCGCCTCCGACATGATCTGCCTAGAGAGGTCCTCGACGGCCGGTTCGGCGCTCAACTCAAGAAGACTGTCGATCGTCTCATCGTTGTCCCCCTGCATCGACAGAGCCGGAAGATTGGATCTCTTGCGGCCGCAACCTGCACAATGAGGAAACGCGTTAATCACTATAATTTTATAATAAAATAAAAAATTATACCGGTGAAGGCGTTACAGAACGGCCTCTTCTTCGGATCAATGATGCTGTCCCGACCTTCGTATCCATTAGCCTATAATCAATATACATTTTTTTTGGATTAATCGATTAATTTCTGCTTAATTGCAATGAAAGCTTACGCGTTTCGGTAGGAAGATCGATTCTGTGTCGATGACGAGGAAGGCGAAGCCCACGACTACGATGAACAGGGTTGTCGATACCATATCTCTTCTGCGAATAAGCGTGAATGAATCAATCTGATTGCCTCCTGCTGGTTACAATGAAAGACTTTTGATGCTGACCGGGGGGTTAAACGGTTTCGATTACACAAAATACCCCTTGGGGAAAAGCTCTTTGCCTTCCGCAACAGGGGTTAACGTAATTTACAAACGCCCGCTAATGCACGATGCACAAGTGGAGGGACACACATACCAAAAAAAAATAGGGAAGAAGCATTTGACATGCACGAAACCTTTATTGGAATCACATCGAACGCACCCTCTCTGTCTCAAAAAAGTTCATTCCGTTCACGAATTCCAATAAAGAATTAATTTGCCTTTTTTTCTCTATTCTTCTCTTCAACTCCTACAAAACTTATCTAAATATATCAAATGAACTAAGCCAATCTTTCATATTTTAATAAAAGATATATAAGAATATAACATTTCATGAACTCGCATGACATTTCATTTTTATAAATTGTAAACATACAGTAAGTAGATTATTGGTCTGTTTGTATGACATGCAATATAATATGTAAGTCTTCAATTTTTCTTTCATTTATTGTAAATAGCATATGGTTATATAACCAAACTGTTTATATCTAAGTAACATATTTAACGAGTGATTGCGCTGACAAACAAAAAAAAAGTGATTAACTATCTTTGTTAATACTGAAATTTTCCAAAATACAGTAAATCCAATGCTCCAAATATTCCGTTAAGTAAGCATTCACGAAAGATTCAATTCACTTAATAAAAACGTAAATTCTCTGCAAGGACTATAAAAAAATCAACGTAATTGAAGAAAATACTGGATTGATATTTCAATTATTACATAATATTGATTATAAACACTAATAAAGTCTAATAAATAATATTTGACTTGTATAAAATAATTACAAGAAATAAATTTTAATTTGATAAAATTATTATTTCATTGTTAAATTGAAAAAATGTGAAATAATAGTTGTTAATGCAAGTGTTATCTTAATTGTGGTATTGACAAAATTTGACCAATCAGATTGAGGATAGAAATCGTTGAAATGTGTCGAAATTACATGATCAAACAGAAATCATGATAAACTGTGTGTATCTCTCTCATTGTGTATTTTCAACGCTGGAAATATTCCATGAAGTGAGATTTGAAATGAAAATATAAATTTCACACATATAATGTAGTTAAACAACTGTTTATATATAAAGTAAAAAAACGCTTTCACATTATCTTATGTGCATTAAATATTATGTTGATAATCTCTACATAAGTGTGAATGAAGTCAACAAATAAATATTATTTTTGGTTTTATAATAATTAAATATGTACTAATTATTATATTGATTAAGTGTGAATGAATGGATTGAATAAATATTGTTTTTGGTTAGAACTCACCTGTTGCTGTGCTTACGCGATTGGTGTGTGTTTGTGTGTGATAGATAGAGAGAGTGTGTGTGTGTGGTCTGGTTTTGTTGGAGGGTTAACTGTTTGCTGTGAGACTGGATGAGCGTGAATTCGCCGGGTAAGTGGGTGTGAGCGGCGGCGTATGTGTTTTTGTATGTCGTGAGCTTCGAGAGTGTGTTGTGTTTGGCGGAAGAGTGTGAACTTAAGTGACTAAGTAAACGAAACAACGAGGGTTTTATACAAATCAAGGGGAACCCCCGGCCGTGCGCACTTTGCCGCCCCCGCATTATGTACATGTACTCCTCTCTATACACGTACATATTTATTTATATAAAGTGTATATATGTGTATGTTATATAGAGTACGAGGGAATTATAAATATCGAACATACAAGAGCTCGTGGACCGATAAGAACCAATTCCTCTCGAGCTTAATAGACCCATCAAAACCATACTTGTTTTTCATGCTCCCGGGTACGCGCTTCTTGACTTGCTGTTAAATTGCCCTTCAATCATGCCGCATGCCACCGTTTTCTCGGACACATCATTTAGGCGTAAGGCATCGATTTCCATCCTTGCAGCTGATATTCTAATTTCACTCAGAAAATTAATATACACATTTTCATTATTTTCTCCAAAATAATATTACATAGAATGCATCCAATACATACGTATTAAAACTGTATATTCAAGGAATACAACAAGTATTCATATATTATTGTATCAATGGTCAATTCGCTATAATTTGCTTTTGAAATTTATTTTCTTGAAAAAACACGATATTAAAGCTGTATATTCAAGGAATTTCACAAATATTCATCGATTTCCATCATTGCAGCTGATATTCTAATTTCTCTCAGAAAATTAATATACACATTTTCATTATTTTCTCCAAAACAATATTTATTACATAGAATGCATTCAATACATGCATATTAAAACTGTATATTCAAGGAATGCAACGAGTATTTATACATTATTGTATCCATGGTCAATTCGCTATAATATGCTTTTGAAATTTAAATAATTAAAAAAAAAATACTATAAAAAAACATTATTTTCTTGAAAAAAAAAACTATATTAAAGATGTATATTCAAAGAATTTCACAAGTGTTCATCGATTTTTATCCTTGCAGCTGATATTCTAATTTCACTCAGAAAATTAATATACACATTTTCATTATTTTCTCCAAAACAATATTACATAGAATGCATCCAATACATGCATATTAAAACTGTGTATTCAAGGAATGCAACGAGTATTTATACATTATTGTATCCATGGTCAATTCGCTATAATATGCTTTCGAAATTTAAATAATTAAAAAAAAAATCATTATTTTCTTGTAAAAACACGATATTAAAGCTGTATATTCAAAGAATTTCACAAGTGTTCATCGATTTTTATCCTTGCAGCTGAGATTCTAATTTCACTCAGAAAATTAATATACACATTTTCATTATTTTCTCGAAAACAATATTACATAGAATGCATCCAATACATACATATTAAAACTGTATATTCAAGGAATTCAACAAGTATTCATATATTATTGTATCCATGGTCAATTGGCTATAATTTGCTTTTGAAATTTAAATAATTAAAAAAAATCATTATTTTCTTGAAAAAACAAGATATTAAAGCTGTATATTCAAAGAATTTTACAACTATTCACTCAGAAAATTAATATACACATTTTCATTATTTTCTCCAAAACAATATTACGTAGAATGCATCCAATACATACATATTAAAACTGTATATTCAAGGAATACAACAAGTATTCATACATTATTGTATCAATATTCAATTCGCTATAATTTGCTTTTGAAATTTAAATAATTAAAAAAAATCATTATTTTCTTGTAGAAACACGATATTAAAGCTGTATATTCAAGGAATTTCACAAGTATTCATCAATTTCCATCCTTGCAGTTGATATTCTAATTTCACTCAGAAAATTAATATACACATTTTCATTATTTTCTCCAAAACAATATTACGTAGAATGCATCCAATACATACATATTAAAACTGTATATTCAAGGAATACAACAAGTATTCATACATTATTGTATCCATGGTCAATTTGCTATAATTTGCTTTCGAAATTTAAATAATTAAAAAAAATACAGTAAAAAAAATATAATTTTCTTGGAAAAACACGATATTAAAGCTTGGATTTAAGGAATTTAAGAGTATTCATACATTATTGTATCAATGGTCAATTCGCTATAATTTGCTTTTGAAATTTAAATAATTAAAAAAAATCATTATTTTCTTGAAAAAAACACGATATTAAAGCTGTATATTCAAGGAATTACACAAGTATTCATCGATTTTCATCCATGCAGCTGATATTCTAATTTAACTCAGAAAATTAATATACACATTTTCATTATTTTCTCCAAAACAATATTACATAGAATGCATCCAATACATACATATTAAAACTGTATATTCAAGGAATACAACAAATATTCATATATTACTGTATCAATAGTCAATTCGCTATAATTTGCTTTTGAAATTTAAATAATTAAAAATAATCATTATTTTCTTGAAAAACACGATATTAAAGCTGTATATTCAAGGAATTTCACAAGTATTCATCGATTTCCATTCTTGCAGTTGAGATTCTAATTTCACTCAGAAAATTAATATACACATTTTCATTATTTTCTCCAAAACAATATTACATAGAATGCATCCAATACATACATATTAAAACTGTATATTCAAGGAATACAACGAGTAATCATACATTATTGTATCCATGGTGAATTGGCTAATATGCTTTCGAATTTTAAATAATTAAAAAAAAATCATTATTTTCTTGAAAAAACACGATATTCAAGGAATTTCACAAGTATTCATCGATTTTCATCCTAGCAGCTGATATTCTAATTTCTCTCAGAAAATTAATATACACATTTTCATTATTTTCTCCAAAACAATATTTATTACATAGAATGCATTCAATACATGCATATTAAAACTGTATATTCAAGGAATGCAACGAGTATTTATACATTATTGTATCCATGGTCAATTCGCTATAATATGCTTTCGAAATTTAAATAATTACAAAAAATACAGTAAAAAAAATCATAATTTTCTTGAAAAAAAAACACGATATTAAAGCTGCATATTCAAGGAAATTAACGAATATTCATACATAATTGTGTCTCTCATTAAAAAGACACATTTTCACTATTTCCTTGATAGACTGGATCAAAAATGCATATTCAAGTTGGATACTGGAGGAATGTTAAAAATATCTACATAATTTTCTTTCAAACTTAAACTAGTCAGTATCTTTACATATTCATTATTTTCTTGTAAATATAAAAAGAATGGATTCAAAAAATTCATAAGTAAATTCATAAGTAAACTGGATCTAAAAACATGCATATTAAAGTTGGATATTTGGGAAATTTAAATTTAAATCTGAAATAATAAAAGAAAGAACATTAAAAAAGTTGTGTCTACATATTCTTGACTTTCTCAAAATCCTTCATACATATCCGAGTTGGATGTTTTGGGTATGTTATGAGTATTAATGCTTCTCTCTGCAATTTGAAAGCAACCTAAAGGTGATTTTCAACTTGACAATATTAAAAGTAATAACCATCTCTATTTTCTTCTGGCTTAAACATATAACTGTATCTAATCAGAACTAATTAGAATTTAATCAATCGAAAATGAAACTATTTGTTGATAGGAAGAAAACCGGAGAGGCTTTTGAACAAAGACATCAGTGATAACAAATCCACTGACGTCACATATTCCCACATATATATAAAGTTGCATTCCACCAAAATTCCATTGCATCCCATACAAAGTTACATTCAACAACAAAAGTTCTTCAGTTAAGTGATGATTATAGGATGGTGTATATTCTAATTGTTAAAAGGCAAACAGTACAAATGAAGCCGATAACAGTAAAGTTTCGCGTGTTTGTAAAAATTGCCCTGCGAAAGGCAAAAAAAGTACATAGGAAGTATTCTTAAAGCAACACAAAAAAGGTAATTCACTCATTAATATATTAAAACCATTTAGAAAATATTGTTCAGTTTTTGTATTTTCATTTCCAGGACGTAATTTATTTAAATTTATATATTATAAATAATCATAAAATTAACAGAAATTTGCAAATCGAATTTATACTCAATTATAATTGAAGATTTGCATATAGTTTTTAATATAAACAATTTTTTAATTAAAGAAAATCTTTAATCTTTATGTAAGTGTTATTATTATTATTATTATTTTCAAAGAACAATGTTTTCATTTCTATCTTTGTGATTAACATGTGTTTCTTTTTGTTTCGCCTCGCTTCTGAAGCTTATAAAGTAACGAGCTTAATCCGCCTAAACTGTAATCAGCTTAATTCGTATGTATCTATCTATAGATACATCGTAATCTGCAACTGGACTGACCGATTCCAATTATAACCACTCCGACTCTCTACCTCTTTGTGCATGTACACCAATTAAATGTACGGCATTTGACGTAACGAGCTTCAAATGCAACGCAGCAATTATTTCCAAAAATCGATAAATTAAAAAAAATCTCAGACTTTAAAACATTCATCAACTCTAGAAATAATTGGGTTTATATATCTACAATAATTTTGGTTTTTTCCATGCAAACTAAATCAATAAATTGTGCAAATACACATACAAATATTGGTAGAACTTAATTGGAAGGTTGTTTGAAATGTAATCACATATTTCTTATGTTTATTGCAGTTATATATAGTTAAATTGACTGAAATAACGATATTTTTTAATAGAATTAATTGACTCAAAGAAAAACAATTATTTTGTCAGTAAATTCAATAATACTAGATTCAACAATATATAAATAATTGTGCTTAATAATCTACAGTAATTTTGTTTTTTTTCCATGCAAACTAAATTAATAATTTGTGCAAATACATATACAAATACTGGAAGAACTTAATTGGAAGGTTGTTTGAAACGTAATCACATATTTCTTATGTTTGTTGCAGTTATAAATAGTTAAATTGACTGGAATAACAATATTTTTAATATAATTAATTGACTCAAACAAAAACGAATTATTTTGTCAGTAAATTCAACAATATATAAATAATTGTGTTTACATATCAAAAATATAATTTAAGTTTTTTTCCATACAAACTAAATTAATAATTTGTGCAAATACACAAACAAATATTGTAAGAAC